CTGTTGTTTTTATTTTTTTACTTCTTTGTGGGTATGCCATGTGATCCCTGTGAATAGACTGTTCTGAGTTGAGTAGTGTAGGATTATTTTTTTTCATATGATGGAGAATCTGATAGTTCTTTTTATTCTGTTTTCTTTTAGGGAGGTGGTCGGTGGGTGGGTGTGGCTGGTGGGGGTAGAGGAAGATTGTTTAATAAACTTTCTTAGATCGTCTACGACACTAAACCATCATACGCCACATAAAAGGTCCAAAAGTATTAATACAGTTGCGGTGACCACTTACTTTCAGATCGAGAACCACTTCGGCTACGAGTTGATCAGCCTCATGAGCCGCGAGGAATTCTTCTTGCCGATCCCTTCGTGGGTGAGTCCTTGCGGGGAGGGAGGGAGAGAGAGAGAGAGAGAGAGAGAGAGAGAGAGAGAGAGAGAGAGGAGAGAGAGAGAGAGAGAGAGAGAGAGAGAGAGAGAGAGAGAGAGTGAGTGAGTTTGTGTGTTTGTAAGAGAAGGGGGGCGTGTGAGAGAGAAGGGGGGGAGGTTAAGGATAAAAGAATCAAATAACATCCAAAAAAAGGAAGGGGAAAAAGGACATTAGGTATAAAAAAAATCCTACAATACTACCATCCTACAACAACTTTTTTTCTTTCCTTCCACAGTGGCTGGAACCTCTCGCCGTCTATTACAAAGAATTCAGGGAGAAATTCGAAAACGGAACGTCTGTTTGAGTCGCGGGAAATTTGAACCAGTCTGTCCCAATAACGGTTTCCTGTTTCCGTGTCTTCGCCAACCCACGAAGAAAACGGAAAAAAAGAAACTAGGAGAAAAAAGAAAAAAAAAACATATTGACTGTTATCCATTCCCCTCTTTCTCACCTAATGAGAAAACATAATTTACAGTGCCTGATTTTGAAGAAATCTATTCAAAATTTGATATATCCTGTATTGTATCTCTAACATGTATATGGGTATTATGGTTTATCAGATATCATAAACATTATTATACTGTTTTTTTTATACAATTGATTCGGTTTTCCCTCCATTTATTTTACGTTGATTAAATGTTTTGCATAAATCAATATAATTCTGAATATTATCTTTTTGCATTTTTAACGTGAAAATGACGATTCAAACAACGATAGAAACGATTAAAGATGATGATGATAAGAATGATAAATATTATCAAATGATAATAACAATAATGATAATGGTAGCGATGATGATAATAATAGTAATGGTAAAAAATTTAAACAATGAAAACAATTAATATAATATAATAATAATAATAATAATAATAATAATAATAATAATAACAACAACAACAATAACACCAAAAACAACAATGATGATAATAATAATAATGACCATAATAATAAAAAATATTATTCAACAATAATAATAATCATGTTGAAGATAACTGGCAATGAGGATTATGTTTATGATGATTAAAAAGACGATGATGCTCGAGATGGAAAAGTGATGATTATAGTGATGATGATGATGGTGATGATGCTAGAGATGGTAAAATGATGATGATGAGAATGATAAAGAATATGACGATTATGATAAGGAGGGTAATTATGACAATCAGGATTATATCTTAATATAAAGATGGTAATAAAACAATGAGGATAATGCTGATCAGAATGATAAAGATGACACTTATGTCTAATAATAGAATAATGATAATGAGAACCAACGCCAATAACAGCAGAATCGACAACACTGATATGAATAAGGATTATAGAAATAATATGAATAATATAGTTGGGGACAATTTTCCATAATACATAACTGCTACGTTATTAGTTCTAACCCATACATTTAAAATTCCTCAGTATTTTCAATCATACTAGACTCTATTGCGTTTACAAGCTTTCTTAAACCAAACTGCCCGTGCCTTTGAAACTAAAACTAATCGTAAGTGAAGGGTGTCGAAATCCATACCGTAAAGTCCGTATCCCTGGCTGCAGGCACGCTGTCGGAGATCTGTCGGGAGTACAATGCTCGTGTCACTGCACTCGAACCAACGGACATCTGACTTTCCGCCTTGTTAAGCGAAGTCGAGTGTCAGCAGAGTGTTCAAGGAGCTGACGGCACTTGGGTGCGTGACTTGGCTTTCCACACGGGTGCCACGGGGTGTTTTCGTGGCCTGTGTCTTCGGGACATACAGGGAGGGCTCCCTCTATATTCTGAAAGGTCAGGGCAAGCTTCTCTAGACCTTACATACCTTATGCTACCCGGGCCTCTACCCTCTCGACGTCCCCGCACGCGTATACTCATGGCCGTCTGTCGTCCTCAAAATCACATACCTTGGTCCGGCTACTTGGCTAATGATAATGATAATAATAATAAAATGATAAATATAATGATAATTTTGGTAATTACTGCAATAATAGCAATAATTAACTCTATTCTAATAATTTTCATACAAGTAATGAAAATAGAAATAATAATAATATAATTATTATTGTTATTATAATGAGTACACGCATGGTGTACACGCAGCACCCTTGCACATGCTGTACTATAGGCCATCCTCAACACCTACACTCCTGGGTCTCCTCCTTCGCCTTGGTCCTCGGCTGGTGTTCCAAAGGTGTTCAGGCAAACAACGCTCAGCTGGGACTTTCGGATACCTTCGCTGAAGAGAAAAGGGCACAAACAGAGCGGGTTAAATGTATATCTTAGAGAAAGAGAAGAGAGGGAGAAAGGAAGAGGGAGAGGGAGGGGGAGTGGGAGTGAAGGAGTTGAGAGGAAGCGGGGGAGAGGGATAGGGAGTGGAGGGAGGAAGAGGAGAGGGAGAGGAAGTGGGGGAAAGGATAGGGAGTGGAGGAGAGGAAGAGGGAGAGAGGCAGAGAGAGGAGAGGGAGGAGAGGGAGAGGGAGTGAAGGAGAAGGAGAGGGAGTGGGGAGAGGGGGGAGT